TTTTTGCCTCTTGAACAATATGCATGTTTATCCGAGGGGTTTTAAGCAAATTTTGCTTTGCCTCAATTTCCTGGAAGCCAAAAAAAAATGCTTTACTAAAGAACACTTCTAGGGACTACAAAATAAACTGACAGCCAGCGGTGAATACATACCATGGTGGAGGAAATAATCTTGTCACTTTTAAGGAGCTCCAGGATAAGATTTATATTCCCTATGGATACAATGTGGGATTGCTCGTATGTTTCCAGTATGTGCAAAGGTGATATTATGCCTATTTTCAAAAATGTCACCGCACAATTATAGCCAGTATGAAAAGAAATATACAAATGATATGACAATAAAAATATCAATGACGTTCAAGAACACATATCTTGATAACACCATGGCTCACAACCAACTGTCATTGTTTATAAGTTATTTTCTTTCTCTCGATCTCTCTTTGCTATTCTTGATTCTACGAATTGACATTCATTTTGTTTCTTCTTTTCCGTTTTAGACACATTATGCAGGACTGCATTTTAACCGGATAATGTAAATACGAATTGACTGTTTATCAATACGAAAAACCGGTAATTCAGCCTGTGATATGTGATAAGCTATAAACGTGATCGCTTACACGTTAACAACATTTAAATCAAAAGACCACAATAAAACTAATGGACTTAGATTAAATTTTTATATTCAAGTGGACTAAAATTACGCAAATAAGATCGCATTGGATAAGAGTACTGAATGCTAGATACTAAGTATCAGGTTAGAATAGAATCTACTAGTGTATAACATTACTTTAGTCTCAATGAAGAAATCGGTAATAGATGACTGTACGTGAATGATAAAGATAATGTTAAATAACTGCTAGAATAGATGATACTAGCACGGAATATATAGCTTGGTGCTGTTTTAAGTGATACTACTTAGAGAATTATTTTTGATAACAATAATTAATAGTATTATTAATAATAATAATTCTCAAAAAATGTCATCATGGTTTCATATTTAATTAGAAAGGAAATTATTAATATAATACTAAATTCACACTAATAATAACAACATTTTTACTAAATCAATCGCAATACATCGGTAATGCAACGGCATCAATGAAAAGACAAAACTTATGAGGCACAATGTTGACGATGCTCTATTGCTTACAGACAATGAAGCAATTCCAATATGAAAATTATTCCAAGAATTTTTTAAAAATTAAACCAAGTTCAACATAAAAAATTACTCATTGATAAAAGTTAAATGCTACTAATGGCATATAAACGTTTCCAAATATTAAAGTATGTACTTGTACTTGAAATGACTCTAAATTACTTTTAGTACATCATAGATATCTTCGTAACCAAACTCCTACGCATTCACTCAAACAACATTCATATTGAATTAATTATCAGTATTACGTTTTATGAATGATGTTATGTACTTCATCTCCGTTATTAAATGTCTAACAGTTTACAATTGTAATCTAATTATTAACAAGAGTGAATGTTACATGGGTCTCACCTACGTCCTAAATAAGAGTACACCAGAAATAAATGGAAAAAAAATTAAAACATTTGAGCGTAAAGGTGAACATTATTGCGATTTGTAAATGTAGATATATAAAAATATACTCTTTCAGTAGTAAGATATGAAAACATCTCAAACATTTAATTCAAATATCGGATTGCTTATTTAAAAGGATCAAATAAGTTAACCACTTCTATGAGACACGGATTGAAACAATTCTATTTTTATGTGTTTAAGTAATATTTGATGTTTCTATAGGGAGTGATCTTTCCCATAACTTTGCTGAGCGAATTACATACATTTCGCGTTGATGCTTTCTTATATTTTCCAATGAACGTCCGCAATCTAGTATACCTATTCATTCGTTTGAATCATTGCGCGTTTATATATGTTTCTGCTAACTGCAGTTAAATGTAAAGTACTATGGTTTTCCAGACGTTTCGACCCAAACCTTGACTAGGAAGGGTTTGCCAAATAATTATAATAATATAACACTAACCAATAGACGATCGCACATATCTCCCATTATCTATAATTTGCACTGGCTTCCAATTAATTCACGAATAAATATAAAATTCTGCTACTAACTTTTAAAGCTCTGCGACTCCAACAACCCACTTACCTACTCGAACTCCTTCCTAATATGTCTCCTTATCCTCCCTCCGTTCTTCTGATCTTAATTTGCTCATTGTTCCAAAAGTTAACACCAATTCTCAATCCACAGATTGTTTTTATTTTCAGCTGCCACACTTTGGAACTCCCTCCCAAAACATATTGCCAACTCACTTCAGTTGCTATTTTTAAGAAGACCAAACTCAAAACCCAACTTTTTTACATCTGAACATGCACAGCGCCTTTGATTTTTACTTTGGTTTAGTGGTATTGGCGCTTTATAAATTATTATTATCAGCTATACAGTGCGCCTCCTAGACAAATATTGAGAAGAGCCTTTCGTATAAGGATATAACTTTCAACATTTTCAAAATAGAACAAAATACACGCTTGATGTGGGTGTAGGAGATAGGCATACGTACTCTTTTATAAAGAAGATAAAATAATGATCTCTAAATGACACAAATGAAAATGAGCGAGGGTATGTTTTGTACTCTTATGAAAATGATATTAAAAAAGTAATAACAAATTAATGCAAATAATGCAATATATATATATATATATATATATATATATATGATATATATTATATACATATATAATATATATATTATATATAATATAAATATATAATAATAATAATAATGACAATGATACTTTTGAACAACAAAAACCGCAATGTTATAATACACACTGGAATAAGCCTATAGATATAAATATAGGCCTACATACATCGTTCATGATCGTTAGAGGAGCATCCGGAAACCGCGTGACAGACAATTGGACGGGCACCTATCCAATTACCAAGTGCATTGCGTTTAACTTGTTACTGTCATATTTGGTTCAATTAATGTGTTTGAGGTGAGCTTGGTGACATTTAAACGGGTGTCGATTGGATAAATGAGGCATAATAGGGATGTTGGTTTGAATTATCTATTAATTTTGTTCTTCATCCTGCTTCAAGTATGGTCTACCAATTACTGTAGTGTAATTCTTACTAAAATGGAAATAGGCCATCACTCAATACGAACAAATATATTCAAGAAAGGAACACATTAATGTCATTGGAGATGAATTATTGTATAACATTAATGTGATGTAGCAATTATGTGAGAGAATAATGGCTTTAGAGATGTGTGCTTTAAAATTGGACAATAATTTACTGTAGACGCCAAAGTTCTGTCCTTTATTTATATTGTGTAATATGGCATATATAAGATGTGTATAAGAGACAGCCCATAACTTTGCTGAGCGAATTACATACATTTCGCGTTGATGCTTTCTTATATTTTCCAATGAACGTCCGCAATCTAGTATACCTATTCATTCGTTTGAATCATTGCGCGTTTATATATGTTTCTGCTAACTGCAGTTAAATGTAAAGTACTATGGTTTTCCAGACGTTTCGACCCAAACCTTGACTAGGAAGGGTTTGCCAAATAATTATAAATAGAGAGTCAATCAACAGTTAATCATATTCAGTGTTAGAGTTTCTGTTTTACCTACATTTTTAAGCACATGTGGCGTCAGGTTTGGCGTCAAGACCGCCATCAGCAATACGGAACTTCAAGGTAAGCCTACAGTAATAATTATTGTAGGTCATTTGCACATCCAACGATTAACACGTTTAGATCGGTATGCCTAATAAATCGTGGAGTCAAGTATATTCATACAACCGACCTCTATAATTATTATTATAATTATAATAAATATTAGTACGATAATACAATTACTATAATATTAATTAGGCCATGATGATAATCATCATCATGCTACTTATGATGAGTACCATCACCATGATTATGACGATCATAATCATAATAAATAAAAGGCCTAGGCAACTAATATAAATTATATTTTTTGCAACACCGCCCGTATTATTGTACTTTACTGGCGTTTTCCAAGTTGTATGGCTTAGCCTAAATATTTGTATGTAGGCCAGCGTAAGTTAATAGGTAATGTACGGTACATGTTCACGCGAGTACAGTATTGTTTGGATAAAATTAGGCCTATAATATAATTATCATTACTTTTCATAATGCAGGTCTCCCTCTAATTAAAGACCTCTCCAAATAAAGACCTCTCCAATTAAAGACCACTTTTCTCTGCCCCGGCCCAAATTAACCGTATGTCTTTTAGAATTATAATTCTAATCGGAGACGAAAGCTACTAAAGTCCAGAAACCTCGGTCCCAAAAGTGGTATTATATAACATATTACACTCAGAAGTCTGCGAAAATATGAAATCAATAGCGGCGGATCCAGGAATTGGAAATGGGGCCTAGAGGGGGCCCAGAGAGGGGATACACAGATGGAGGTTCCAGGCTACCTCCGGCCCACCATTGTTGGGTCTGAGGCTAGAAATTGTATCTATGGTACTTATGGCAACTCTGAGACTTAAATAAAAATGTTCTTTTCTGCATCTTTTTTCGTAAATCCGCCATGATCAACATAGGCCTATACCTATTCATCCGTCATAGTCAAATCATAATAAATATAAATATTTTTCTGTATGGTATTAATTTAACATACGCTTTCACACTCCGAATCATGAATTATCTGTAAATAACTTTAAAGGTGGTGTCCATGTAATCCCTTGAGACAGCTGCAAAACCCGTTGGTATACCGTGTCCTTCTCCCCCGAGCTTTGCGCTCTGTTGACTCTTCATTTTCCAACTAAGAATATTACATCTATGGTGAGTGAATGCGCTTTCTGAAGCTTAGCAAGCGTGAATACACTGCTTATAGGTATACTAAAGATTGTTCTTAATGTAACTTGTCAATTAACACGTTATAAAATTATCATTGCTCTCTTAGTTCAAGATACGGTACTAGCCTACTACACTCCAAGAGGCTTAATCAGAAAAACATGTTTACCTGACTACAAGCGCGACTCATTCCTATACATGGTGATGCGCTGGTTAAGTCACAAACGTACACTGTGCTGTCAGATCATTTGCAAGAATGCAATTTACGTTCTTTGATACATCAAGACTTAGCATAACGAATGGTCTCTGATTCGGCAAAGCAAACTATACGCGATCGACAAGTAACATATCTATAAAATCCATCGTTAATCTTCTTCAGATATTAAATGATTCTACATGAAATTCAGCGTCAACACGCTTTTATCGCCGTGAGTTGAATAGGTAATTCGCTACTACTATTGGAGTATCAGATGATCCCAGTTAGCCGAGCTGAAATTGGATTTCTCATCCACCAATACAGCAAACCTTGTTATCCGAAAAATAGAAAACTTCCACTTACACGGAGATATATACCGATGTCTACAGTAGTCCGTAAACAACATCCGTGGTGAAATAGCATACCTCTTCCAATACATCCCGCATCCGAGGAGAAACTGCATACGATACGATAAATCACGACATCAATGCAACATACAGATATAAGATTTCTCGTACACTGCAGCAATGTAGGCCTACAGTGTATATACACGAAAGGAATGTTTATATACACGATGTAAAATAATATTACTATTTAATGATTATGGAACGATTCGTATTCAATGCGCTGCAATCAGCTAATATTTTATATTGCTGAACTAAATGCCAACTTCATCGTTAACGTGTTAGCGAGAAAAACATAATCACATAAAATGAGATGGCAAATGAAAAGGATCAAGTAAACAATGCTTATTGTGTCATTCTGCTGACGGCGATGAGATAATGGAATAATACACGCAATGTTTGACAATGCTGAATTGCATAATACATAGTGATTTAGTGAGAGTAATTGTAAATGTTTGGGAAAAATGATGATAGTAAGAATAAGAATAGAAGAATTAATAATGATGATGATCATTATCATGCCTTGGGTGGTGGTGATATTGAGGATGATGATGAGGGTGATGATAGTGATGATGATGATGATGATGATGATGATGAGATGATGGATGATATTGATGATATTGATGGCGATGAATGTGATGATGATAATGATGATGAAGATAATGATGATGAAAAATATAATAATGATGATAAAATAAAGATAGTGATGATCATAATAATAATGATGACAATGATGATAACGTATTAGTTTGCAGAATATAAACTTTCATTATCACATTCAAAACCAACATGATAGGCCTAAAGAGTACAAGGTGTTTACCAGACATTCAATTATTGCAGAAGTGGGCACAACATTATTTTAAAATAAACTTGTGAAAATACCACTTACGCTTATAAAAAAACAAAAAAAACAAAAAAAAAACAAAAAAAAAACGTGTGTAAGACTTCACGGTATTATATGCCAAAGATTGATGGCGCGGTCTCCTTTAACCGTATTCGCTGATAGCTACACTCAACAGAACGGCAAGACATGGCATCTGCATCGACCGTGGAGAAGAGATGAATTTGAAAATGTCACGGTATAATCAGAAATAAGTTAAGCTGAAATAACGAGGTGTAGAATCAAGCGTTATCCATATGCAGTTAAAGTTCAACCGTAGTAAAGATTCGCAACAAGTCTCCTGATGACGTAATTGCTTTCTAAAAATAGAATACACACACTCAATTTAAGGCTGACTTCATTACTGATTCATAACACTACCAAGTGCCCGTTGTTGCGACTGAGAATTAATAGAAACGAAATATATTTTATATTCGACAAAAAAATCAACCAAAAAAGAATTCCCTAGCCCGCCCTCTATACCATTATACATACCACATTAGTTGATATTTTATGTACAGTAGACCCCTATAATTAAGAGCACACTTTTGTATCTCTTTAATAGGGTGTCCCCTGAATAAGGATAAATTTATGTAGGTGACACTAACTGAAAATGTGAAATTGTCCCCTTAGTAGGGTTTTTTGGCATTAAAGTATACAACATTGACATAGATTCTTTATAATTTTATTATTTATCCTAAGAATGAGCTACGATGTAATTAAACTAATTTGTGTCAATAATTTCCAATGCAATTATAATAAATTTATAGTGTAACATTAAATATACATGTAATTAAAATAGTAGAACAATATATATTATTTTATAATTCACATGTTATCCAGTAGTAATGAAATATTCTTTGATTTTTTCTTTCTTTTTATTTGTTTAAGTATTGAGTTTTATGTAGATGCACAACATACATATACATAAATAGTGTCCAGGGGCGGATTTAGGGGGGGGGGGCGGCCCGGTTCCTTTAACAAAAATATAAGAAATCTAGACCAATTTTTCTAAAAAAAACAGGTCTCATTTTCTGCTAAAACAGCATAATTTAGACCCATTTTTGAAAATGTGGACCCAATAGAAAAATTGTGTGGGACAGTCCCAACTGTCCCAATAGCTGGCCACGGCATTGCTTGTTGGGGTGTCTCCTTACTACAGATATTGTCCATAGTGTTGACAAAACGGAACGAAAAAGTATGGATGCAGGGCCGTAGCCACAGAATTGGTCAGGTTTCAACCATTTCTGACCATAGAATTAGTACGGTAATATCATTCTTCGTTCATAGGTCTAAACTTACATTTTTGTCAATGCAAAAGGCAAAATACTAAAATAACAACAATGGTGTGAATAATATAATATTATTGTTTTTGCTTCATCGTAGCCCTGATGGTATTTTTATATAAAATATTTTAAAACTATGTTTAGATTTACAGAACATCATTAAGATTGGTCTACACAATGTAAAAATAGCAAATTATAGCATGGCCTTCGACCTCTGAACTCTTACCGGGGACCCGTTGCGGCCATTGGCCCCCAGCATCAATTCCTGTCTCTTATACACATCTAGATGTGTATAAGAGACAGGCTACGATGTAATTAAACTAATTTGTGTCAATAATTTCCAATGCAATTATAATAAATTTATAGTGTAACATTAAATATACATGTAATTAAAATAGTAGAACAATATATATTATTTTATAATTCACATGTTATCCAGTAGTAATGAAATATTCTTTGATTTTTTCTTTCTTTTTATTTGTTTAAGTATTGAGTTTTATGTAGATGCACAACATACATATACATAAATAGTGTCCAGGGGCGGATTTAGGGGGGGGGGGCGGCCCGGTTCCTTTAACAAAAATATAAGAAATCTAGACCAATTTTTCTAAAAAAAACAGGTCTCATTTTCTGCTAAAACAGCATAATTTAGACCCATTTTTGATGCCACACGTACATGTGCCTTCAACCTTCCTTCTTAATTTTTAACATTTTTTAAGTGGACAAGATAGTTCTTCATTTTGTTAGAATAAAACATGTTTAAATTTCTGTTATTTCTGACATCAATTTAAAATGAAATAAACATGTTACGAATATTATGGTATCGCTTGTTTTTTTTTATCTTTTAATGGCTTTCTTTTTTTCCTTTCTTCACTTTTTTACAATTCTTTCCTTCCTTCACTTGTTACGGGTCATCATAGCCGACCTCGTAATGCCCTAGACAAATATAATTACGCCTTGCTGGAAGCAGTCGAGATGACGAGTCACGTAAATACCAGCTTCTTATACAACTTGATCACATTTGGTCGTAGTTTACATTATCGTTTTATTCATCGGATCTAATGAATCAATAGCTCGATGTCTTATTACAATTTACAATATGGTGTTTCACTCTGTAACTAGAAATGCATAAATTTATGTATTCAACTTTCTGTTCAGCGAAGCTAAAACATCTGAAGACAGAACAACAAGTATCAACAACTGATCGCATGATTAAATAACAAGTGCTAAAAATAAACACCTAAAATAGATCGTCTTCCATATGGCCTATTTAAATTTATGTTATGTAAATATTTATTATTAAATAATTGTATATGTAATTTATATATTCCCCCACCCTAACCTAACATTTTACCAACATGGGTGTGGTTTATGACTGTGAATCATTAGCCTAGTAAATTGGCCTGAATTTTAAATATCATAACCACACCCGCGTCAAGAGAGGACCATACTGGGATGGCTGTTGTTGGTTCTAACCATCTGCACTTTTTGATAGCCTCGATCTGGATCCGCTACTGTTGTGTCTGTCCTATCACCTCGATGAGGAGTACACAGGTTTTGGAGCAACACTATGTTCAGGGGTTGCGAAAGGAAAGTGGGCGTAGTCGTGCTTCGATTAAAAGGTTACGAAAGTGGTCCGGGGAGGGGGTTTTTTTGACAATTTAGGGGGTTTCAAAGGCTTATTTAATCGATTTTAGAGTTTACTAATATGTAAAAAATACATATTATTTTTTTTTTCTTCCCGACGCCCCCCCCCCCTCCCCGCTGGCACTACCCCTGTGCTGCTTTAGAACCGTAGTGGCGGATTAAAGAGGCCCAGCCGCCACCCACCCCCAACAGATGTTTCAAATTTTTTTTAAATGGGGGAAAAAAAATCATTTTTATAGAGGCGCAATAATAATAAATGTGAAATGCCATGGTAGAGACCAGAGGTGGTCTAGACTCTCTGTGAAAGTCCCTCCCTGGGCCCTCTCTATTTCAATTTCCTGGATCTGCCACTGCGACATTTGTTACTATGGAGATTCAATTCGATATAATGGCAGTATATCTGTTGTACATCGATCTATTGCTCTGAGATTGGATTTTTGATAGAAAACGGACTTTTTGTGGTGGTGTACCACCTCATGCCCAGAGTTGCACTAGCGCTTACCTCCTTTGCACGTTCCACATACGGTACTGCATCATACATACGGTCTTTAAAATTGGTTTATTCAGTGTTATTACTTTTACTATTACTTAAATATTATTATTATTTTGATAAAATTTATATAAAATGATAATATCGAGCCATCCTTAGTCATGTCTGTTTTCATGAATTGAAATCCATGAATCAAGTGTTATTTGGGACTAGAATGTTAAGCAGCCTAGTTAAATTCTAAACTGCGACATGCTTTTGTCATTGCATTTTAAGCACGTGTCTTTGGGCAAAAGTTCTTCGGCAGATGCTTAAAAGAAGCATCATTAATTTGAATAGAAATATGCCTACACTTTCATGTGAATGTTGTAAGATATTAATACTGGCATTAATTATTAGTTTTGTAATGACAATAATCCTTCTTTATTGCAGTTCATATTGAATTCGATATTAAAATAGGAAAAGTGCAAACAAAACAACCTTTAGCCTAAGAGTAGGAGCACAGATCTACCTTGAAATGTTTCTAAAACCAGCTGCACCTTTGATGTGCGCCTTAATAACCGAAATTAAATACATCTACATAAAACACGATGCTCTAACTAGTTAATTTAAAAGTGTGTGGAGTAGTATTTCTTAACATGATACGACCATCTGACCAGCAAACACGTAAATGAAAAAAAAGGATTGTTCATCTTGCCTGACCCGATTCGAACTTGATCGACGCAGATTGAAATATGAAGTTGCCAGAAGCCTGCCTGATTCTAGTCACACAACAATGCTCTATTATGTAGGCCTATACAA